ATCCGGGGGAGGGGCGGGGCGTGGCGTCGAGGGCTTCGAAAGGGCCCCGCCTCGTCCAGACCGCGCCTGCGAGGGGAAGCGGCGCCGCGCAGCCTCCTGCGGGTGGGCCTCTGGAGATCGCCGAGCACGCCTCGAACCCCGCTCGGCGACCTGGGCTGTCAACCGCCTCGCCAGGGGGACGCCATCTGCCCACGGCGACCGCCGCCCCGCCCTCGGGGGGCGCCCTGGCCGCGGCGCCTTGCTCGGGCCAAAGGAGTCGCGGAGGCCTGCTCGGCCGGTGCCGCGCCCTCCGGCGGTCGGCCTCTGCCGGTGCGGGCCGCCGGCCTCTGCCCGCGCACGGCGGCGGCTGGCCCCCCGCGAGGGGCGCGGCCCCGCGGGGGCGGCCGGGCTCGGCGGCGGGCGCCCCGGGGCGCGCGCGCAGGCGGTGCCCGGAGGCGCGGGCGCGCGGCGCGCGGCGGGCGCTGCCCCTTCGGGGGGGGGGGGTCCGCCGAGCGGGAGACATCCTCCGCGGCGGCCCCGCTTCTCGGCCACGCGCAGAGGGGGGGGAAGGGGGGGGGGAGGGCTTCTGAGAAGCAGCCCTGCTCCTCAGAAGGCGCCTTCTCAGAAGCCCTCCCCCCTCCCTCCAGCCCCTCGTGCGCGCCGCCAAGCTTCCGAGGCCCACGCCGAGCATGAACACGAACTGATTGGCCGTGGTGCGGCGGCTACGCCGCCCACCTCGAGGGCCGCTGGGCTGCGAACCTGGCCCCGAGCCGTGCTCGAGAAGCCGTCGAGGCCGAAGGCCTGCGAGGACCTCCGTGGCGACACCCTCGCGTGGCCGAGCGGGCGTCGCGCCCTCCGCGGCGAGCTCCCGCGCCCGAGAGGCCCGCGCAGGGAGCGCGCCGGCGGCTTCCGCAGCTCTACGGGACGTGCCCAATCCCCGGGACGGGCTCCACGGGACGTGCCCTCCGCGGCTCAGACGCCCTCCGCGGCGGCGCTGGCGGCCCGCGGCCCGCGCAGGGAGCGCGCCGGCGGCTGCCGCGGCTCCACGGGGCGTGCCCCATCCCCGGGCGCGGGAGAGCTCGGCGCGAGGGCGGCCGGCCCCGCGCCGGGCTCCCGCGCGGCGGCGCGCGGGGAAGGGGAGCCGGCGCGTGGCGGCCGCGGCCCTCCTGGCCTGCGGTCAAGCAGTGGCGACGCGTCCTGGCTCGCCTGTAGCCCCACCGAGGAATGTTCTAAGGACCTTTTGTGGTTTCCGCGGAATGTTCTCAGAACATTTCTGGTGGAGATGGTCTTGTTTTATTACATCGGGTTTATGCTCTATGAACATTGTTTTTGTTCTTAGAACATTTTGGGGTTCTAAGAACATTTCGTGGTAGGACTATAGGAATGCCGGGACGGTCGGTCCCTGCTCAATACACACGGTTAATTTCTCATTATTCGGAAGTTTTTGGGTTTTTGTTGGGGGGTCCAAGATCCTTTTTCATTTCTAATGGTTCTATCCTGGGCCTCTTCCTGGCCACCAGGGGCCCAGGAAGAATTAGGAACGAGCGCAATTAGAAATGAGCACGATTAGAAATGAACGACGTGCACCTTCAAGTCGGGCATGCCTCCCTACGGGAGGGATGTTCAAAATTAGACAAAACGCAGTCTGGGGACGATTTGTCGATTATTTGTTGACTATTCTTTGTTTTTGTTGCATATGTTTCAGCTTGCGTCCACAAGCTGCCTGCAGGGGGACACGCCCGACCTAACACTACCTGTGCCCGTGCAAGCCGCCGGGGATCCGAGAGCGCGACCTGTGGTGCCGCCCCCCTGCGGGGGAAGTCAGGCTCCCAGCGGAGCGGGGTCCGGCACCCGTTGGAGCTGTTCACCGCGTCCAAGACCAGCGCCCGAGACCAGATGGTGGTGGTCGACGACGCCAGGGGTCTGCCCCTCCATCGACAGGCTGTTGGCGCGTTCCCCTTCAGCTACCGCGAGTCGGCGATTGTCTTCGAGGCGGCAGCAAAAGGAGCGGGGATCACAGCAGAGTCGGCTCCAGCGCTCTACATGCTGCGCCACAGGGGCACGTCCCACCACACGGTGACTGGCCCCCGCGATCTCCGAGACAGCCAGGTGGCTGAAGGAGCGGTCGGCGGCGAGATACAAACAGGGCGACCAAGTCAATAGTCCCCCCGACAGTGCGACGCGCCGCCGAGGCGACCGAGCAGTGCGTTTCCGCGTGGCTCCCTCGGAGCTGATCAGGCGCTGGAGGGCTCGCGCGTTTCGCCCCTGTGGGTTCGCAGTTGATTAGTTTTCAGGCTCGGGCCGACTCATTGCAGCGTGGCGACCGCATCCGGGGCTGAACGACATCCCCACCTTTGAGCTCGCTTACAAGTATGGAAGTGCGCACGACTTGCCCCATGCTGCGTTTCCGAAGTCCTTGTGCTTTTCAGGATCAGCGACGGACCGCTGCGGGCTGTCTGGATCGGTCTTCCGCGCATTCGCTCAAGCACTGCACTGGTCGGCACCGACCTCGCGGGCCCGCCGCCCTGCGGAACGCCTCTTCTCCCTCGGGCCTCCCTCGGGTCGAGCGTGCTTCTTTACTGCTTTGGGGCAGAGTGTGCATTAGAGCCCCCTCCCCCCCTCCCCCCCCCTACAACCTAACGCCCCTCCCCCCGCCCCCGTGTGCTCCGGGCATCGCCGCCGGAGGCGTTACGTTATACCCCCGGCCCCCATCCCCCAGCCCCCTCCCCCCCCCCCCTAGAATGCCCAGTATCGCTGAGCATGAAGAATCGCGCTCCTCTGCAGCCCTGGGGCGTGCGGGCTGCTCGCGTCGAAGATACGCGCGCGGCGTTCTGCGGCCGTCTCGCCGAGGCCTGCCCGCGGCGCACCGCCGGCGCGCCTCTCTCGCGCTAATTATAGGGGGAGAGCCCTGGTCGTCAGCAGCGGGTCTCTGGGGGGCCAGCCCGCTCTCTCTTCCCTCCTCGTCCTCGCCCTCCCCCGTTCGGCCGCATGATTTCTCTGCTTATGGCGGGCGTGTCCCTCTACAGGGGGAAAATTCAAAAATAGTCCACAAATATTATGGGGACGATGTTTTAAAATACGTTTTACAATTGTGGAGTATTTTAGGGGTATTTTCACGTTTCCTCAAATCGCTATAAACACAAACTTTTTGTTGCCCTGCGCGGATTTATTACTGGATCCGCGCTGGGCACCCCCCAGCGGCGCCTCCGGCGCCGCCCCTGGCGCGCTCCGCGCGCCAGGGAGGGGGGTCCAGCGCAGATCCGAGAAAGCCGCGCGGGGCGCCAAAAGTTTATGTTTGTAGCGTGTTTGTTTCTTCTAGCATGGGCGGAATGCCGTGGCGAAAGCTCACCCGTGTCGGAGCTGTTGCTCTCGACCTCGGTCCTGCTGTCAAGCACTGCTCCGGGCGAGGAGTGTGTTCTTCTCGGTCTAAGATTCCTCGCGTGCAGTTCGAACATCCCCAGGGCGTGTTGTATACGAAGCTCGCAGGGGCCTACCCTCGGAACATTTGCCGTCGAATTGCATTTTTTGTCTCCGTCGCCCATCTCGCCCAGCACTTTCGCAAGCTTCGTGCGTATATCCAGTTATCTGGTCGTGCTGAGGGATTTTTCTAAAAGGGCGGCCGCATAAGCCGGCCATGAGAGCAGTTGCGGTTTTCTTCGTAGTTGTGGATCCGTATGTGAAGCTCGAATGACCTCTAAATGTTGTCAGAGGTGTGCCTTTCTGACATGGATTGCAACACGCGTTCGCCTTTCACACACTTCTTGTGGCTCACGCGCGCACGTGCATGGGAAATAATGTAACTGTATCTTCAGATGTGCATCTTCGAGATTGTCAGTGTAGGAATGGGTCGTCCGTTCCCATCCTGACTCAAGCTCTTTGCAGCACGCGCTCATTTTTCGCACGGATCTCCTGTGGTCCACGCGCGCACGTGCATGGGAAAGAATGTAACCGTATCTTCGGATGTGTATCTTCGCGGTTGTCAGTGCAGGAGTGGGCCGTCCGTTCCCATCCTTCCTCAGGCTCCCTGCTTCGCTTCCCTCCCCCCCAATTCAACCAGTCAGGATCCGTGTGTAACGCTCGAATCAAAATTCGTTTTCAGTTTCCCAGCTGCGCGCCTATGACTCTCGATTACAGCACTCGCTCGTCTTTCACACAGATCTTCCACAGCCCACGCGCGCACGTTTACGGGAAAGGAAATCCTCTCCCTATGCCGGCCAGGTCGCCGATCCATCGGCGATGTATCGCCGATTGCAGCTGGACGTTTCTACGCGCGCGTCCCCGGGCCTTGCATCCTTATCTCGCATCTTTACTACCAATTTCGACGGTATAGGGGGGGGATACCATGGCGGGGTCCACGACATCTGCCCAGATTTCATGGCCCCACTTTCCCTTCTGAACTGCCCCTCCCTTCTTCGTTGCCCTTCCGAGGGTCCCGGGGGTGCTCGCTCCGGCTGCGCTTTTCCGGGGGAGGAGCTGCGCCCGTGGGCGAAGGGCCGATCAGGCACTGTGGGGGCCCCCGAGCCCTGGAGAGATGCCCTGTTTGGCGGAGGGCCCGTCCAGACGGGGCGTGCGCGCATGCGTGCGCACACGTACCGGGGCGTGCGTTGAGGAAGGTGTCCAGGAGGCTCCCGGCCCTGGAGGGTGGCTTATCTGCCGAGGTCGGCGGTGGTATCTTCTTTTTGGCCGGGCCTCAACTGGTGTCCCACCAGCTTTCAGGTCATGCGCTCCCCACTCGAGAGTT